CCCCCTGAAAATTTTCTTTTATTAGAATAATTATATATATCTTTTATTTATTGTCATCATTTGTTTGTTTATGTTGAATTGTATGACATGCCGTTAATTTATCTTTTTTATATTTAACTCGACGATTTTGAAACCAAATCTAAACTTAATATGTTTTTGTTGTTTGAAATAGAATAAAAAAAAGAATAATCTTACTTTAACTTGTTTTTCTGTTAAATTCTCGTTCTATAATTCCAATAGTTGTATACTTGTAAAAGCTGTCCGTATACGTTTGAAAGCAAAAAAAAGAAGGTAAGGGTTGTTTTGATATTAAATATTCAATTGAAAATGACTTTTCATTCGTTAACATAGTGAATAAATGAGATGAAAAGATTATAATGATCAATACACTTATAGATCGTAAATGAATATACCTTGATTTAGTCTCAGGAGAATATCTACTGTCGTTAATTTCCCCATTTTTATTACTAATATAAAAACGATCAAAAAGTCATTTATAGTCGTTGATCTATTCAGTTAACTTATTCTCTTTTGAGATTTATATAAAATAGACACATCACCTGTCATATTCTGATTTAAATTTTAATAGAACGAGGCCGCTAGTCAATGATCTATTCAAGATTTCCAAGTATTATTATTGGTTTGAAAATGCATTTTGATATATAATGGATTAGATAAAAACTGAGTGTTTTTTCTTTTATATAGAAACATTTGTTTAAATGATGATGATGATGATGATGATGGAGTTGAATGTCCATTAAGTAGTGCAGAAGCATTGGCAGTATGTAAAGAATTTGCTTCAATGACAGATACTAATACAGGTTTAGCTATGATGATGTTACAAAAAAATCAATGGAATTTACAACGTGCTGCCAATGCTTATCAAGATTCAATGCAGGGGAGATCAAAAGCATCACAGAAACAAACGGTCAGTACATCAGATGTTAAACGAGTGAAAATTGAACCATCAACTACAACATCAGTACCGATCGATAATAAAACAAATGCTAAAACACGTTTTAAAGTACTTTCATGGAATATTGATGGACTTGATGAGCAAGAAAATACCTTCGATATACGAACACGAGGAGTTATTGATGTTATTAAACGGTACTATTTTTTTTCAAAACTAATATTAACAGATTTTAATTTTTCTAGTGAAGAACCTGATGCTATATTTCTTCAAGAAGTTTTTCCAATAGCTTTTGATTTAATTCGAAATCTTTTACCTGAATATGATTCATATGCTGGTTTGTTTATATATTGAGTAAAATCTAAGATCCGTTTTTATCCTTTATAGGAAATACTGAAGGTTATTTCGTAGTTATTTTAACTCGTCGTGAATTATTCAAAGTACAAAATTTTGAAATTATTACATATCCAGGAACAAACATGGGAAGAAATCTACTTATAGTTCATGTAAATATGTTCTTTACATTTATTCGATGACATCACATCATGAAAGTGGTACAGAAGAAATAGCAAGTAAAGAACGTATGGAACAACTAAAATTATGTTTTAAACATATGATGGATGCATCATCAAATCGAATTGTTTTATTTGGTGGTGATTTAAATATACGTGAAAAAGAAGTAAGAACTTAGAGCGCATTAAAGAATAAATAGTCTCAACAAAAATCTATTTTAGCTTGAAAAAGTAGGCAATGTTCCATCAGGTATTGTTGATCTTTGGATTGAAACAGGCAAACGTAAAGAATGTGCTTATACATGGGATATGAATCGAAATACAAATGTTTATTATTCATCTACTGAATATCGACCACGAGCTCGATTTGATCGTCTTTATTATCGTCCATCAACACAAACTACAATTCATTTTCAACCAGTCTATTTTGAATTAGAAGGTCTGGAAAAATTACTATCGATCAAACGTTATTGTTCGGATCATTGGGCTATTCTAGCATATTTTGATATATAATCATATTCTTTTATCAGATATTTTCTATAGATAAAAACATATTTTTTCCTTTCCATGTTAATATTTTATTTGTAATTACATTATGTTAGTATAATATCATTTCAGGCCAATAATTTTTATTTAATTAAAATTCATGACAACTGTGCTAACTAGATCGTATTCGAGTCTGACATTAACTTCTAATTAGATCTAGAAGAGCCGATCGACAATTTATGTGATTATTGAGCTGTGTTTGTAAATGCTTTGATCGTCACTATTCATTAAGGGTATGGGTGAGGTGAAGAAGTGGGTGTAGATAACTAATGAAGATCCATCCACACCCGCAACTAGCCTAAAAATGACAAGCTTAGTAGAACAGCAACACTCAATGCACAGGTATTATTCAAAAAATAGATCCACACTGAATATGAGTTATAACCCAGTTGACACAAAGATATATAGCTGATATGTATTTTCAGAACCGGTAGAGAGAGCTCCAGTCAATGCAGGATGTTAAAACCAACACAGAGAACACAAAGAAAACAGAGTTAAGGAATTGTAGTCTTCAACTTTTTCATAAATTTTGCTCTGACGTATATATACGTCAATAACGCTGAAGGGGTTAATTTATGGAAAAAAATGTCTATCAGTAATAGATACACTCATCGTTTGATGTTCTTTTGTTTCTAAGTTTTATTGAGTAGAACAGAACAGATTCAATATTTACCTTATCTATTTATAACAACACACATGAAAGCAACACTAATGTTAAATAGTAAAAACAATTTCTATTCTCACATGTAATAATATCAGAAATACTTCAGATGTATCAATTTGAATATTACTTTTAAATTTTACACTTAACAATATCTAGAAAGCAGATAGCCTATTGCCGAAAGTAGATCTAAATATGTAGCAAATAAAAAATGTACGGACAAAAGTGTTGATAGAAAAAATAATTACATTTTAAAGTATTTACCATTAAAGAAGAAATATTCAAAGGGTGACTATTTTAACTCGACTATAGTTTAGAGTGCATCAATAATGAGGGAAAGAAAGATATAAAGTGATTTCTATTCACATTTGTCTTTCCATTTTTCAAAAAAGTAAAACACATCATCACTCTGACTATCATCAGTTGATATAGACATGGTACAACTAACGTTCTTACTGATTCTTGGAATCATGACTACTAAGATTGATTGTTCAATGCGTATTGGATATATTCGTAATGCAGCATATCGTTCTAATAGCAGCATTCTCATATCATACAATGACACATGCTCTGAATGTCTTTGCAGTATATTGTCTACTGGTTCGTTACCACAATATGTAGGTTTGAACTGCTATCACAATAATAAAACATGTCAACTATTAGCTAACTATTTATCATCATCAGAAATAGAGACAAACTTTAACTCGACCTTTATAATTATACAGCAAACAGCATTTCAAAATACAACAACAGCAATAACAACGCCAATAGAAGCAACTACAGCAGTTGAAGGAATAATACTAATAACAACACAACAAATCACAAGATCACAAACAACAAATTTACCAACAACAATCACAGCAACATCGGAAATTACAACAGTAACAACAACACCTACAATTACACCCTCAACAACCACAATAGCAACTATTAAAACAACCACCACCACCACCAAAACAACAACTATTACGACAACAACAACAACAACAGCCACAACAACAACATCAACTACTACGATAACAACTACCACGACAACAACTACAAAAACAACA